ACTGTACCTTAGATTCACAGCATCTATTGTATTCTAGAATGACTAAAATAACATCACCACAGCGTGTATTGGTACTGTACCTTAGATTCACAGCATCTATTGTATTCTAGAATGACTAAAATAACATCACCACAGCGTGTATTGGTACTGTACCTTAGATTCACAGCATCTATTGTATTCTAGAATGACTAAAATAGCATCGCCACAGCGTGTATTGGTACTGTACCTTAGATTAACAGTATCTATTGTATTCTAGAATGACTAAAATAGCATCACCACAGCGTGTATTGGTACTGTACCTTAGAGTAACAGCATCTTTTGTATTCTAGAATGACTAAAATAACATCGCCACAGCGTGTATTGGTACTGTACCTTAGATTAACAGCATCTATTGTATTCTAGAATGACTAGAATAACATCACCACAGCGTGTATTGGAACTGTACCTTAAATTAACAGCATCTATTGTATTCTAGAATGACTAGAATAACATCGCCACAGCGTGTATTGGTACTGTACCTTAGATTAACAGCATCTATTGTATTCTAGAATGACTAGAATAACATCACCACAGCGTGTATTGGAACTGTACCTTAAATTAACAGCATCTTTTGTATTCTAGAATGACTAAGGTAACGCTACAGGAGTGCGTAATATATCTTAAATTGGCAACATCCTCTGTATTCTAAAATAACTAAAATAACAGTATACATTACAAACACACTAAATTAATAACATTCATATTTTATAATGACTAACTCACTAACACATCACTATCAAATCGTGCACCGCATATTCAGTAAATAGCACATGCATTGTCTTCAATTAGTTATACTACTCCTTTCATTAACACTTGTCTAGAATAGCTAAAGCACCACTAGCAGCATGTTTCTTGAGAAGTGGACTTGGCTAAAGACAGTTGTAATGTTAACATAATAAAGCATACAGTGAGTCTGCGTTTTCTTCCAACAACAAATTAAACTAAAAAAAAAATAACTAAACAATATGGACAAATAGTTCATAGTGATGCAAGTAAAAAAGTGACCTTAGCACTTACACGTAAGGCGTTTCTTATTTTCGTCCTAAACTCACCTGGACGGAACCAATCAGTTCACTCATACCATGGCCGATAGCAGGATTAATAGTATATTTAGCGATGTACCTCTTGGCTCTAAAATTGTCGTTACTTCCTTTTTCTTCCGGCAGGCGGCCTAGCTGATATTTCATTTTGTCTGCTGTCTGCCAGGCCCTAGTGACGACCTCTCCAATTCTTCCCATGGCCTGAAATTTTAAGATGGGTCATCTTGAAGTAAATGTCTTTGCATATTTGGTCCTTTGATATTTTAATGGTACTTTTAAAGCTTGGAGACGGCTTGAAAGAGTAATGAAGAAAACTTTAATATAAGTTATTAGTCTCATTATTAGTCTGAAACTTCGTCATCGAATTTTAATGGTACTTTATCTCTTATTTCACCCACGAAAACCAAATAATTCACTCTTTTAGTCTCCAAAATGCGTATATGAAAAATGACTACCAGGTAATTTTTTAAAAAATTTCGAAGAAATAATCACATTAAATGTTTTAATCAGAGTTACACAAAACATATGTTTTGATCGAAAGTTAATATTAATTGCATGTGCTGCTAAATGTTACATGTACTATACATTCATATATAGATAAATATACTGAATGGTACTTTGGACTACTTTATATCGTCGGCTATTAGTGTACGATTTGTCGCTTAGTTTGCACTTAAACATGCAACATTTAAATCAGAAGAACGTTTGAGTTTAAATGCTTTAAAAATCAGCCATGGTAGCCGCTTTAGGGCATTTTATATATTCTCATAAATTGTATTTGTTCTCCGTCAAGGAGGATCTCTACAACAGCAAGAAAGTAATCCTTCTACCGTAATTAAATTAATTAATTTTACATTGATGTTAAACTTCTTTTAATACTGTGCTCTCTAATTGGCTCTTTCGTAATTAAACAAAATTATCACAGTTCACTTCAGATACAATAATTTACTGACATTAGCATTAAAAATAATAGCCTATTATATTATTTCACACTCTCAACGTGGGTATACAATAATGTGAAAAAAAAACAAGAGAAATACCCACGCTTTACTTTTTGTGAGGGCTTTCCGCTTCATATGGTTTTAGCCAAACAACCAGTTACGTTTCAAAATTTCATTCGGTTAAGCCTGAAAAATGAAGCTGCATAGATTAAAATTCAAGGAACTTGTGTAAGTATTTAAAATGCTCAAACAATCAACGTTGTATATTAAACGGCCCTAAGAGACTACATGTTTCGACATCATTCACTCCTGAGGATGATGTGAACAACGTCGATACGTGTAGTGTCTTTTATGGCCGTTGATAGGATTTTTAAATAAAATTGTATATATCATACAAGTTGTCTGTTTGAGTATTTTAATATTTTAAATAAAGTTTCAGTTCAAATAGTCCCCCAGTAGCACAATGATATGTCTGCGGACTTATACTGCTAGAAACCTGGTTTCGATACCCGTGGTGGACAGAGCACTTATAGCCCTTTGTGTATCTTTGTGCTTAATAACAAACAACAACAACAGTTCAAATAAACATCTCTATTCTTAACAATATGATGTATATTACCGTTACTCTTAACAATATGATGTATATTACCGTTTAGCCTGAAGCAGCTCAAATATACAACTTACACGGAATGCCTAAGTTCAAATTAACTTCTGTACAACAACGAAGTGTCTTAAGTTCAGTTGAAACTTACACCTATGCTTTTCAATGTAACTGCTTTATCTCACTCTCGAGGTATGACGATCATCAGTATCGTTACAACTTGCTTGGACAGTTGAGAGGTATATATATCCACATCATGTTGTCCCATATGATAAACATCAACTTCTGTAGTTTTATGTTTTATTAGACTTTATACTGACTTCCAATGAATTCTTTAACATTCAGTTCCAATTGCCCTTCAAAGTTTCACTCAAGTCTCATTGGGAATGAACTTTCTTCAGAGAGACAATAATTTTTCCTCTGAATAAAATGCCATCAAAATAATTAGATAAAATGATGAACGTGTATTAACTTAGAAAGTACAAATATCGCTCTCCAGCATAGACAATCTAACTCTATACTTACCTGCTTGAGAGTCAACCTACGTAGCTTAACTACACACTTACCTGCTTGAGAGTCAACCTACGTAGCTTAACTACACACCAACTTACTTGAGAATCGACCTGCGTAGCTTAACTACACACCTACTTACTTGAGAATCGACCTACGTAGCTTAACTACACATTTAACTACTTGAGAGTCAACCTGCGTAGCTTAACTACACATTTACCTACTTGAGAGTCAACCTACGTAGCTTAACTACACACCTACTTACTTGAGAGTCAACCTACGTAGCTCAACTACACACCTACTTACTTGAAAATCAACCTATGTAGCTTAACTACACACCTACTCACTTCAGAGTCAACCTACGTAGCTCAACTACACACCTACTTACTTGAGAGTTAACCTACGTAGCTCAACTACACACTTAGCTACTTGAGAATCATCCTACGTAGTTTAACTACACACTTACTTGATAGTCACCCTACGTAGTTTAACTACACACTTACTTGATAGTCACCCTACGTAGTTTAACTACACACTTACTTGCCAGTCAACCTATACAGTTTAACTACACACTTACTTGACAGTCAACCTACGTAGTTTAACTACATACTTACTTGACAGTCAACCTACGTAGTTTAACTACATACTTACTTGACAGTCAACCTACGTAGTTTAACTACATACTTACTTGACAGTCAACCTACGTAGTTTAACTACATACTTACTTGACAGTCAACCTACGTAGTTTAACTACATACTTACTTGAGAGTCAGAACTCATCATGCTAATGGCGCCCATATCGTGCAATATATCCTCGGCAGCAATAGTTTCCGCTCGAATACGAGATTCCGCAAAAGCAACGTCTTCTTTCAAGTTTCTGATATTAAAGATTTAAAATACTTTAGTAAACATAGATACAATCTTGCTAAAGAGGAAAAAATATTCCAGTTACTACTCTCCAGCTTACTATGTAATTTGCAAACAGTTGTAACGACTACATAGATCTTTGTCCCTGAATATCATTTAAATATATTCATGAAACAAACAAGAAACATTTTCTAGTTACATAAGTCATAAAAAATAAATATTTCAATTTATTACGTTCAGTCGATTGACGAAAAAAAAATATGCATTAATTTACATTATGTTATGCTACATTTTAGTTTTACTTGCTACGAGTGTCTTTAAAGAATGGTTATTTAATGTTATGATAAAATAATTAATTATATCCGAACATTTTGGAGAAAGAAAAAATAAAGCCGAGATTTAAACTGTATGTAATAAGCCCTTTTAAGTTATTAGCCCACTCCAACAACTCTAGGAAAGTATGAAAGATAGATAGTTAGAGTTCGCTTCTCCAAAATCGGTGCTTTGATCGTTTGATGGACCAGGGAGAGTCAGGTTCATGATGACCTCTTCCTCCTTTCCGGACTGTGATTTACTACTAGTGAATGTTGGTGTTGATACAACATGAGGGTCGGAGTAAACCGCACTTGCTCCGACCTCTTTCAGGGCAATGTCCATGTAGGTATCTACACTTACATTCTGTGTTTTGCACTATATCTCTTATGTCAGTTCCATAATGCAAAAAACACATTTCACTAGTTAGAGGCTAATCAAATGCATTTTACATAAAAATATACCCTTTAAATGTATTGTTCTTAGTCTAACCAGTGTAGGGTTTAAAGACTAGCAATAGGTGGCCTTATTACATCCTTATTTTTAAAGTAAATGTTTACAGGTGAGAGGTACTTAGGTCTACTTCCATCATGTATGTAGTAGATCAAGTTTATAGAGTAGGTCATTCTTTTGCCAGTTTTTTTTTGCAAGGTAATTTAGAGTATTATGCAAGAGTCTATCAGCTATTGTTTGTATGTTTGCATAGCTGTGCATAAATTTTGACGAGGTGCTGCGAAGGACTTTATATGCTGTGGTGATAAGTGAATTTTGTATAGATTGTAGCTTATTTATATGTTTGGGATCTATGTTTATCCATGCATATTCTATTCGTATTCTATTATGGGACGTATATATGTTTTGTATATTTTT